CGAAATTTGGAGATGAATTGGTTTTATTGCGCGACAATTTAATCATTGATGGATATTAAATGGTGGTTTATAGTTGCTATTAGTTGTGTTGTGAAATTCTGAGACAGGAAAAATCCAGGATAGGCCTAAAAACAAAGGAAACTCTGCCCGATTTTCTGTAGAGTTCTGGTGAGGCTTGCTTTGGGATTCTCCCCCTTAGCGCCGGTCATGATCCTTAATTGGGTCGTGACACACGCACACATACACCTCACACCAATGGTTGGACATCTGGATCATGGACAATTTAATATGGGGCCCAAACATCGAGAAACGAGAATTGGGATGAATCCTACTCAAATACCATGTCAAACAAATGGAACTCAATCCCAAAAACTAGTTCATGAGGTAACATTTCTCTAACACCATATAAGGAGACCAAGAAACACAAAGTTCAAAAAAAAATGTTCAAAAAGAAACACATAGTCCACTGATTTGGGACTCAACATTGATAAAGAAATGAACCTTAGGCCTAACTTAACCCCAAAAAGCTAGCTCATGAGGTGAGAACTGCCTAAGACAACATAAGGAGACCAAAAAACCCACACTCCACCGATATGGGACTCAACACCCCCAGCACACTAGGACTGGACAACAAGAGCGTGAACAATATAAGATAGGGAGCCAACATCGGATAAACAATTGAATTGGTGTTATCCTCTATGAAATAGACCTTGGGCCTAATGGTATCAGAGCCGCTATGAATGTAATCTAATTAGTTATAAAAATTTAAATTGTGTGTGTATATATAATGTAAAAACACATACATATATGTGTAATTCTGCAGTACCCACTACGAATGTTATCTAATTAGTTAGACTACTTCTTACTAACCAAAATGAAGCAGGGAAGAATTATTGACAAACAACCAATAAATGAGAACACTCCATTACAATATAAACAGAAAATCAGATTGAAAGGTCAAATAATATCAGAAAAGAAGGTGCACAGCATGTTACGTCATTCCACTTGACTACATTTGAAACTGTCTTTGTACATTTGAGGATTATCCTTTTGTCGTTAGTTTCTCTTTGGTGCACCAATGAGTTTGCTGTATGTATAGTAGATTGGGTGCAGTATGTATGTCCGTATTGTTGAGTAGACTCTCTACTTTATCAGATTTTCCACTTCAATAACATTGTTTTACTTTCAGAATAAAATAAGGGCTAACACAATAGAAAAGTTGCAATCTTTGGCCAAGAAAAGAAGAATCAAAATGCGTTTGATTGACATACTAATTCGACGATTGTGGTTGGATGAATAAAGATAATAATAATAATAATCGAATGACAAGTAGAATATTAATTTTACCTCAGGAGGAGAGGAGGATGACTTGTTGAGAACTTTTCTCTTATGGTTTTGATTTTGGGAATCAGCTTTAGGAATGAAGAAAGAAGAGGGTCTTAGTGATGTTGAAAAGAGACGGTGAGATGTAAGAGAGCCGCCGGTGGAGGTGAGCACCGAGAACCAGCTGTTTGCGGCCATTCTTTTGTGCTGTTTCCCTTATCCCTTTAATCCCGCAAGCTATTTGCGTTGTGCCTTAAAGTTTTAGTATTTAATTTACGATATTTTAAATTTTAAAATTAAATATAAAAATGTGTTTGTTTTCGTATTTTTTTTCCAAACCTTTTTCAGTGTTGTTTATCCAAACAAAGAGAAGAAAAATGGCGTGGCCATTGCTCTCTCCAGTATCAGGCTGTTACTGTCTTCGCCTCTCACAACTTCATGTTAATTTAGTCCAACTCCAACCAATTACACGTCGTGAAATCATACACCCATCTCTTCATCAATGTATACTTTTTTCTGTCGATAGAATTAGAGCAAGACTCCCGCTTTTAAATGCTCAAACCAATGGCTCTGAGCAGCTAATTGAAGATCTTAGGGTTCCTCAACAGTGGCTACAACCTTCCAAAGCCTTGGAGGTAACACCTACTCTTTTCTCAATTGCTCATTTAACACATATCATATATCGGTCATAGGTAGCTTTTTTGGACACATCCCGTTTCGAAATTTTATTCAAAACCCTTTCTTCGCTAGCAGGCAAATCCAAAGTTTGAACTTTATATTCTACCAAATCCCCAATCAATTTAATGCTCATCTTTGTAATTATTTACTCAACTTCTTTAACACATATACAAGGTACTCAATTCCGATGAACCCAACACATATGCTTATGGATCCACCTCTGTTAATTAGCACTGAATTCTTGTAGTTACTTGGTTCTGCGAGGGTGTAGGAAGGATTTGATGGTCACTGACTTGTGGAGTTGTGTGTGTGAATTACCCATTAAAATGCAATTATATATCTTGAGGATATATAAATCCAGAGAGTGTTGAAAGATCTTAACTTGCAAATTTTTGTGGGGTTGATCAAGCAGTTCGTGCATAAAGAGAGCATTCGGTCTTACTTCAGCACATTGTCTTGGAATTTAAAATTCTTTTGGATTGGTAAACTTTTTTAGGAAAAAACGAAAAGAATATAGAAGCATAAAAGTAATTCTTACTTAATTCTTTGTGATTGTTTTGTGATCCTATATTGTTGTGATCAATGGTAGTTACCTTCTAGTGTTGTTGTTTAGAGGGTCTGGCTTTTAGCAACCATATATGCCGATGTAGTTTTCTTGGTAGTCCTCTACTTCGTCACTCAAATCCTGAATTGCTTGGTATATTATAGACCAAAATGTTGGGGGCGTAGTGTTATCCAAAAAGTTGTAGGCTTATACTAAGTGTCACTCCCCGAGGTTACCCCTAGACGCAACACGGTGCTTAATGTCAAGTGACCCCAAACTAACCCATGGCATGGCATATCTATACAAGTTCAATTAAAGCATGCACTATGCGGAAGCTAAAAACAGTTTAATATCTGAAATGGGGAAAAGCCCAAAATATCTAAATATATATAAAATATATGAAAAGTATAGTGATGACGAAAAACAACACTAACAACTCAAGCTGAATCTAATCTATGTCTCAAAGGCTTTAACTGATCTGAGTTGCTGGGACATGCCCCCAGCTAACTCTAACAAGTCTGAAACTGAAAAGTAAATACAAAAGTAAAGCATGTCTATTGTCTTCGAACTATGAGGACTCACCACTGAATCTGCTGTGTACGGACTGGAAGTCGAGCTAAGCATGGTCTGGATGTTGAGCGCCTGAACCTACATCATACAATGATGTAGCACAAAAGTATGTGTCAGTACTTTGAATGCTGAGCATGCGGAATATGTGCTAAGCTGAACATGGAAATAGATATACTGAAGCATAACTGAAAGCTGAGCTGGATGCAATGACCTAGAACTAATCATGAAAATGTAACATGTTGAACTGAATACTGAAATAGATATTGAATACATGGTCAATGCAACATGAATCTGATTGTGGGAGATATTATTAACCGACATACCCAAGTTGAGCTAGCTATGGGCCAACTTGTAACCTTGGATGGAAGGGTGTTCATACCTTGCCAAGGGTACGAACAAGTCTGACGTGGATCCACTAGCTGATGTCCACAAGGGCCAAGGGTGTGAAGCCTAATCTGACGGGTGACCCCTTCAAAACCTACGGTGGCACCGTAATTCTTGGACTCAGGGATTTTCTACTAAAGGTTTCAGCCTAAACTGACGGGTGAGCCTTCATTCCTTTGTCCTCTTGGTGCTAAGTTTACTCCCAATTGAATATAAAGCTAAAAATGTAACTGTAATAACAAAATACTAATAATTATCTGAGAATGCATCATACATATACTGAAAGATATGGCATTCAAATTTTGTAGCATGATTGTCTGTCTAATCTGCCTAGCAAGTATAATTCATGAAATATAGATGATTAACACAAGCTAGGGTTTCTGAGTTTTATATATGGGACTGTACTAATTCTCCAAGAAACATGTAATTAATATTATAGAAACTATAGCAGCTAAATTACAATGAATCCCTAAGGTTTAGGAACCCTAGGTCTAAACAATTTATGGAGAAGCCGAAGAACTGACTGAATTCTAGGGACCTAATGGGTGGAAGAACCCACTAGTGAAATCCCACATATCTGGTGAAGATAACTACGGAGAAATCCTTTGGATTTAGGGGCTGAACTTGAAGGAGAGCTCTGCTTGTTCTGGAGAGAAAACTGTCGCCTCTTTCTCTTCTTTTCTTTCTAATTCTGATGATTTTTAGGAGAATGAATGTTTTAGGTAGTTTTTGACTAATTAATTAGGCTTAGACGAAGTAAAAACAACATAGTTTAAGTACCAAACGCATAGGGGGAAAGACCAAAACGACCTCAACTTTTAAAGCTGAAAATGTGCCCAAAACAGCCAGTCTCATGAGCCGTCTACTACTTCACGGGCCGTTTAAAGCATCACGGCCCATCCAGTGGGTCGTCATGTTGCCCTGCCACCTAATTGATTTTGTGCGGAGAGATATGATCGTTTGAAGTTGACCCAAAACTGAAAAGTTGATGAGTCCCTTTCATGGACGACTTCACGGACTGTCTAAGGTATTATAAGTACCCAATGCATAGGGGAAAGACCAAAATGACCTCAGCTTTAAAACTGTCAAAGTGCCTTAAAAGGGAGGTTTAACGGACCATTTAAGGCTTCACGGTCCGTGAAACACTTCAAGGGCCATATTGCCGGTCATGAAACTTCACCTACCAAACATGGATTCACATAAACAGACATAACGTTTTACTCCAAACACGAAATGAGGCAAACTTGGTGGCGTTGAAAAGAGGAATCAAAGACCTTTCATTTGATAGGTCATAGGCCACATAATACATTATGTGATGAGAGATATGATAGTTGAAGTTGATCCAAAACATGAAAGATGATGGGTTCCTTTCATGGATGACTTCACAGTCCGCGCAATGCTTCACAGACCTTCCAAGTGTCCGTGAACCTTCCAGAGTCCTGGGTTCAATTTCACAGGTTGGGTGATGGGTCGTGGACCTCTTCACGGCCCGTGAACCCCTCCGTGGACTGCCCTTTTCTCTTTTCCATTCCAAGTTCAAATTTCCGAGGTGTTACACTAAGGCATTATGAAATTACAGAATTATGACCTAAATCATCTTCCATAAGTTCTGTATTCTTCTCTGCTGTGACTATGCAAAGTGTTTCTTGAAAAATCATTTCTTATGCCTTCTTAACCGTGTTTAGTATGTTCTTTTTGAACAAGTTTAATATTCTAATTACAATCACTAAAAGTGTTTCACAAAAATTAATCAATTTAGAGAGATCTCTTCAAGACATTTAGTGAGAGGCAAACTGCATGAAATGGTAGTTCAGACATTTACATTCAGCAATATGTTAGTTATTATATTTGTTTTACATCTAATGAAGGATAGTCATTACTAAGAAGGACGACATGATCTGCAAGTCAACTATAAAGGTCTTGCACTCTATCATGAAACAATTAGTGATTGCTTTTGATGCTCGCTCAGTTAGCTTTATCCATTACACGAGGGTGAATTGTCATTTTAGATCTTTTGTACATATGTGGCATGGTTGTCGGGTTTAAAATCCTAAGTGCTCTGTAGGATAAGGTATATTGTGGGAACCTGTCTCTTCTAACTTCCTGCATATCGACTATTTCAAGTGGTGATTTTGCCGGTACAATTGTTTGAGTAGATGAGCCAAGATGAGATTTGAACAAAATATGCTTAAAATTCCTCTGAAGTTTGATATTTTGTCCATCTTATCTTTAGTTTGTGTCTTCAATATATATCTTAGCTGATTTTACCCTGGGAACATTTGTAAGAGGAGTAGGGCTTCCTTCACATGCTATAAGGTGTCCTTAAATTGAGCTGCTTTTCTTTTCTAATAATGATCTGGCAAGTTTTATTTAGGGTGGAAAATCTATTTACTGAATACCTTTAAGATGCCATTTCAGTTAGCTTTAGTGCTGAACCTAAGTTGTGGATGTTGTCTTATGCTATATAGCTTGGCGTGTATTCCATGATGGAATTTCCATCTCAGAATGGCTTGCTAATGTTGTGATGTTGCAAACATCTTGCAAAATCTTGATATAGCTGGCTGTGATATGATCCTTTCTACTCCCATTGAAGCAAAAGGGATATAATTCATATCCTCTCCTATTGCATTGTATTCAGGATCCTTTCTTCTGCGTCTGCACATGTTTTGAAACTCATAATCCTAGATATGAGTTCAACCTTTTTACGTCTTTCTCTTGCTTATTATTTTTGGCTCCCTCTACCTTATCAGTTAGAATAATAATGCAGAGATTTCTGATCTGCATAAATATGCACAGAGTAAGGCTGAAGGTATACAATTAGCATATTGTCTATTGAAATTCATGGCTCAAGAACTTGTAGCATTTAACAGGAATCTGAATGGTTGCAAACTGCTCTTAACAAGTGGTTGGATGATGAATATTGTCCAGAGGAAACAAATATTGAGATTAGCAAAATTGCTGCAAGTTCATTCTACAGATCATTACTGGAAAATAAAAGTGACATAGGTGAGATACTGTTAACGATGGCTGGAGATTTGGAATCCGTATCCTATCAAGAAAGCTTTCATGGAGCATTCTCATCAGCAAATGCAGCAGTGAATCTCATAATCCAACGGCTTGAACAGTACTAATCATGATTGGCCTCACTAAAAAGTTTGGAACTCTTAGACTTAAATTTTTCTTTGACTTGCATTTAGAATTATCCTTTTATAGTGTATAGTAAGTACATTATGATTAAGAGAAACATAATTACACCAATAAGGTTAGTAGGGGATTATATTGGGGGGGAGAAGAAGGTTATAAAGGCCTATGGCTTAATAATTTGATTTTTAGAATGTTAAGTATGAGCCAATGGTGTATGTTAAGATGTGTGTTAGTCATCTCAAAACAAGTTATTATGAGTATCATCTTGAAAACAAGTTTTTTCATTAGTGAACCGCCACTGATTGAAAGGTTAAACTGAGCTAATATTATTTATATATTGATTTTAGTAAAGACGACGTCAATTAATGTTTATGATTGAATGGCATATACAGTAGTATTAGGTAGGATTTAAAGATTTGTGGCACGTGGAGGGAGGAGATGTCTGTCTACAATCTTCATTTCAAGATTTAAAAGCAATAATTGATGGAAGGTCTTAGAAGGGTGTGCCTACAATTAGATACAAATAATTAAACATACGTCCACTTGAATCATTAAACTCTAACGCCATTATCATTATCATTAGTATCTACTTGGTGCTTTTCATTTGAAATGAGTAATAATACCTTGAACTGATCCATATCTTTTGAGGTAGTCTTGCCTTTTTTATGGCCATGGACAGCGGCGGACAGGCCAATGAATTAATGATGATAGATAGATAAATTGCAATACTCTCCGTTTCTAACCAAATCTCTATTTTAAATCAAGTTTTCAATCAACAAACATGAATTAAAATCTTAGGGGTCGCTTGGTTTGAATTCAAGTTATGATGGGATTATTTTTTTTTGAGTGTTTGGTTTGTTGTATTCAAAATAATAAAGTTTAAGGACAATTTATTTGTTTACAAATATGTCCTTCATGAATGTAAAAAGTGATGTAACAAAATGGTTGAAAGAGACATTTTTGTCATTTACCTATTTTATCCCAGGATTACTATACCACCCAAGGGGAGGGATAACTTATCCCGGTACTAATTATTAATCCCGAGATAAGTTATCCCGGACTTGCCAACCAAACAACAAATTAAGTGGTACTATAATTTAATCCCGAGACTATTTGGTATTATCTTTCACATCAAATGATCCCTTAATTAATTAATTTGACCAATGGACATGAGTTATTTAATTAGTTTTTCTATGTAGGTCAAATGTATATTTTAAATGCTAATAACTCACAAGGGTAAAATAAGAAGAATAATGTTATTTATGCATTGATTTTGTGAATTAACAAATATTAAGAACATTTATTTTTAGTAAAGACGACATATAAATAAGAATGGAAGAAGTACTTGTCAAATTTTTAACTTATCACACCTATTAAAAAGATACTCCCTCCATTTCACAAAGAATGACCTCCTTTCCTTTTTAGTCAGTTTCAAAAAAATGACCTCTTTCCTTTTTTGGTAACATTTTACTTTTTGCTTTCCACGTGACATGTTTAAGACCACAAGATTGAGGGCAATTTTGTACATTTGACATAACTTTAATTTAGGACCACAAGATTCAAAAGTCTTCTTTAATTTCTTAAACTTCATGTCAAGTCAAACCAGACCAATCTTTTTGAAACGGAGGGAGTAATAATTAATATAGTGATGTAATAACATGTACTCCCTCTGTCCCTAATTGATTGTTCACTTTTGAATTGACATATCTATTATGAAAATAATTATTGGCATAGTGAATTTACCATTTTACCCCTATTAATTATGAAGTGGATGGATTAATAACTTAAGACTTTTAAGAAGTTATACATTTTTCAAAGTAATTAATTGAGGATATAATAGGAAAAAATATTTTATCCTTTTTTGATTTGTCAAAATGGATAATTAATTAGGAACAACTAAAAGAGAAAAAATGGACAATTAATTAGAGAAATAGAATATAATAGAGGATGTCAAATATATACACTGATTGGGGACAATTTGGAATTTGTTTGTTGGATCACATTTGGCACTGCAGTCTGCATTGAAATTAAGATTCACTCACTCACCTCGTTTTCCAAAACGTACGTGACAGGAGAAACTAGTAATACCAAGATTATATCTTTGCTTTTATTTATATGTCATTGTATTCTTACTTAATGTTTTTTTTTACGTCAAGTTCTCAATAAATAAATAAAAATAATTTATTTTGATTAATTAAATTGACCAATGAACTGAATTACTCCAAAAAAAAAAATTATATTGATCAAATTCATATTTTCAAAGTTAATAACTCTCAAAAATAAAATATAAATTATAATACTATTATTTATATATTAATTTTATAAATAGAAAGGAAGGAAGTGTTAGTTTTGACGTCAATGTTTATGATTGAATGGCATATAGAGTATAGGTAGGATTTGAAGATTTGTGGCACGTGGAGGGAGGGGATGTCTGTCCTAGAGTCTACATTTCAAGATTTAAAAGCAATAATTGATGGAAGGTCTTAGAACTTAGAAAGGTGTGCCTAGAATTAGATATAAATAATTAAACATACGTCTCATTCCACTTGAATCATTAAACTATAACGCCATTATCATTATCATTATAATAAAGGAGGAATACGGATTATTCTCCCCTTAGCTCTCAAACTAACCCTTTAATTCTAAAAAGGTGAAACATAACAACTAAGTATTTTGGAACATAAAAATTACTCTATTATAGTAGTATATGTAGCAATTATTGCTCCTATATATATATATAATGTACTATTTTAACTATTAATGAATCCAAACAGAATAATATGGTATTAACTTAGAATTGACAGGTAGTTATTATTATTGGCATATGCATATCAAATTATCAAGAATAATTAATATGTGCACATGACTAAAAAGAGAGTATAGTAAAATTACAAGGATAGAGTAAAAATTAGGCAGAAATTAAAGATGGATGACATATGAAATTTCTATTACATAGAAATGTGATGAGGAGGACGACCAAGGGCACTTTTGTCATTTTACCAAAATTATCAGCTTAAAACAGTTGTACTTTCTGCTGCAAAATTATTGAATTTCCCAAATAACCCAACCAAGTTGTTATTATTATGATGGTCACGTGTACTTTTTATCATGAAAAGCATAAAAAATATCATAAGTAGCCGTAGTATCTAAAAATGGTGGGACTCATTTATTAAATCAATTTATATTACATTAACACTTTTATGCACTAAAATAAATATAAAAAGAAACAAACATGATTTAAAATGTATTAAAAAATAAAAATATTTTAATTAGGGAGCATAAAAATAAAAATTAATAAATAAAAATGGTTTTAAATAAATAGTTTTAAAATTTTGCGAATCAAATATTGAAGAGAAATAATAAGTATTCTTCATGTTCAATTTACATACATTAATGATAAGAATATTTTGATAATAGAATATTTTAAATTTTAAGATTATTCAGATTAATATTTAATTAATTATAGTAGACTATTTACTTTATTTACTTAATATTGCTATTCTTTTGTTTGAAATAAGAAGTTAAGAATCGGAACACATGAAAAATCAATACATTAATTAGAGAAGTAAATTAAGTAGATTAATATTTAGAAAGAGATGACAAAAATAGCAAATGATTAATAGTAATTTTAAAAAATTTGAATAAATTTTGAAATAAGATAAAATATCTGGATGAGGAAATCAATACGATATGTAATGATATATGTATCAAAATATCATGTTGGGCTTGGGACTTCCATGTTGGAGGTCTCAAGTTCGAAACCCCTTGCTAGCGAAAGTAAGGGGTTTGCCTTCTGGGTTGAGCTCGTCGCATCGGGCTTGCCTAGTGCGGGTTATCTCTCCTATGTGGTTTGAGAGCTATTGTATAGGAGTGGGTTTTACCCTGTGCGCACCCAAAGGGTAGCGGCTGTGGGTTTTCCTTGTCATAAAAAAATATCATGTTAATTTAGCATTTAATTCTAAATAGATTTTTTTAAAACAGAGAAAATACATTTATGTTTTGAGATTGTTTAAATTTTTTCACTAAACTGATAAAAATAACAAAAATACTTGTTCCTATAAGTTATTGTGCATGAAAAACGAGAACCAAAAACACATCTGTATCATGCTAAAAAAATTATGTTCATTAACATAAATTATGCATATATAGAATTCATGTGATAGTGAAACATGCTTCTTAGTTCTAAAGTTTATGTATGAGTGATAAATAAAAAATATTAATCTCTTTGTTTCAATGTGTTTGTTTTATATTAATTTGGCATGAAGTTTAAGAAATTAAAGAAGATTTTTGAATCTTATGATTTTAAATTTTAAATATGTGAAATATAGTAAATGCTTTTTAATCTTGTGATCTTAAATATGTTATGTGGAGTTGGAACTAAGAAAAGAAAGGGACATTACTTTTTAATAGATTATAAAGAAAAATATGACAGATTAATTGGAATGAATATGATAGATTTCAAGATGATAATACATAATGATTCATGATTTTTATATAAGATATAATCCAATCTAACAGACATATTACCTCTGAATCCTACTAAATTTGTGTCTTGTAGTAATAAATAAATAAATTGAATATTATACTTGAGAGTTTTACAACTTAAAAAAATGAATCTACCCATAGCTAATATCAATTATACTTTAAAATATTACTGGGTTAATTTAATTTAATATTTTTTATTCAGTATTCGATATTTATATTGGAGTTCAATTATTTCTTATGTGCTCTGAAATAGGGCCCATTCGGATATAGAGCTCCCTATTAAGAAATTTTTTCATATTCAAAACTCAAAATTAAGATATTTAATTAAGGAAGGAGAAACACCATTTAATGCACTATATTCTTTGATGGTTATTTTTTGATATTTTTTTATACTAAATTTTTTTACCTAGGATCAATATTAATTAATGTTGATCAGAATGCTATAGAAATACCTTTTAATATTTGTCAAATAACGATTAATAATTAATTATATTGGGCCCGTATCACGGGCCTTAAGAATCTAGTATAAAAATAATGTTGCACTTGAATGTGTCAGGAGTTGTTGTCGTTCCGATAGGATTTTGGGAAGCTCTTCCCGACTTGTCAATTGAATCAGCTCTTTTCCATGAATATAATAGATACTTATATTAAGCATATCACTTTTTTTTTTAAAAATGATTTGATCCATCGATATTTGTAGGACATCACATTAATTGTTGTTCTGATCATCAGAGCAATTTTTCAACTTGGGTATCAATCATATCACGAGGCTGGAGGATCGAACTTGTTGTCTAGTATATATTAATTATTATATATGCATTGATAATCTTTTATATTTTACTCCCTCCGTCCCTATTTAGTTGTCCACTTTAGAAATGACACACAGATTAAGGCAATAATAATTAGCATAGTGAAGTTACAATTTTACCCTTATAATACAATTTACAATTCCAAAATAAATTCACTCAAGATAACTAATCAATGCTAGGAAGTTAATAAGTTTATTTACTTTATTTATGACAACTTTATTTAAATAAGGGTATAATAGGAAAAATTTTGTTGTCCTTTCTTAATTTGTCAAAATGGACAACTAAATAGGGACAACTAAAAGAGGAAATATGGACAACTAAATAGGGACGGAGGGAGTATTTAGTTTGAAAAATATCTTCCAAAATACTAGGGGTAGGTGGTGGCAGCCTTAGCTTCATCCTACCTAACTCTTGTACTCCTTTTGAAAAGTGGGATTTGTAACAATAACCACAAAAATAAGTGGGCTCCAAAATCACATCGTAAATTGTTGTCAAAGAAAATTTACTAATTCAATAATTGTGATATCATGACAATAAACTTTGGCCCCTTGGATTAAAATTCGTGTTTCAATCATACATACTATTTTCCCTCCCTCTATATGTCTTTTGTTCTTTTTCACATGTCATAAACTTGGGATCTCTTTTTCTAACAAAGACAACAGATGACAACTCACTTGCTCAATTACTATTATACTTTTATTTAAGAGTTGCCACATTTTTATATATATATATTACCATTTCCGTTTTTAATACTAGCATACCACTCATTCAAACACCAAAAGAATTTGCTAAGCGCACATGTATTGTCTTCCGTCCCCTATATAAGAATAAGAGAGTCGTAGCTCTCGGAACATTATTATGGGTTTGAAGCATGACTTGGTGGTGTACACAAGACTAGAGTGTGAAAGCTGTGAGGAAATGGCAGCTTCTATGCACAAAGCTAAAGAAGAAGGAGCAGATCTGGTGGAGCTTTGCATTGATGACTTCACTTTCTCTCACATTTCACAACTTGAACTACTACTCAAACAAAGAAGTTTACCATCCATCGTTTCTTTCAGGTAGGTAATTATATTATGTACCTCAAGTCTTGTGTGTGTTCGATCCAGAAATGGTGGGTGGGTGGGTGGGTTTAGCTGAGATAGATGTGAGGAGGAGAGTGACTGAGTCAGTACTTGCCTTTTTTGTTTGATTCTTAATTTCCTCACAAAATAATATCAAGGCACGTGAAAACGACTGAGGTGGTGGGGTAGGTGAACCATAGAGTGCTCGTGGAGAGAGAGAACACTAGTATGTATGTCTAATCTAGGGAAGAGATGATATTAATTAGGCTACTCCTACCATAAGATACGACTTGTCAGACTAGAGTATTCATTTTAATTAGTAACATCCATGTCTATCGACAAATATTAATTCAGACTAGTATGCATGCACCCACTAACTTTGTCTAAAAAGCTTGAAACTGTTATATATATGTCAGGCCAAACTCTGCGATAAATTCTGACTGGAAGAAAACATGTATCCAAGTTCTCAAATTAGCTGTTGAATTGGACGTTGAGTTCGTCGAAGTCGACACTGAGGTCATCATTTATTAAATTAAGCTGTTAAAATACAATTAATTAGTTCCATATCTCCATACGTAACGATCCGTTGTTGTTTGTTTGTTTGTTTAGGTTGTTTCCCATCAAGTGGTTGCTGAATTGATGAGCAGCCGATCAAATAGCAAGATAATTGCTTCTACGTATGTCATTAATGCTGGAAACCCTCCTACTAAAGACGCACTTTGTAATTCCATCATAAACCTGCAGTCCACAGGAGCAGATATCATCAAACTTGTCATTGATGTAGCTTATATTACAGATGTTGCACCAGTTTTCCATATGCTTACACATTCTCAGCTCCCTCTAATTGCTAGGGCAGCAGGGGATAGAGGTCTTATAAGCCAACTATTGGGTCCAAAATACGGTGCTTTCTTTGTTTGTGGATCTTTGGCAGGCAAATCCACCCCTGGCTTGCCTCCTTTGACCAGCATTAAACAGGTTTATAAACTCCAATATGTCAACCCAGATACTAGAGTTTTTGGTGTAATCTCAAATCCTGTTGGCCATAGCAAGGGCCCCCTTCTGCACAACCCTGCCTTTAGGCATACAGGATACAATGGAATATATGTCCCACTACTAGTTGACAATGTCAAGGAATTTTTTCGCGTTTTCTCATGTAATGACTATGCTGGTTTCAGGTACGCTACCTCCTTCTGCACTAAGTATTGTTTTTTCTAAAATTATATTTGCTTCATGTAGAAAACTATCTAACGCAGAATCTTCTTCCTTTTGATGGAACCTGTAGTGTTGGTATCCCACATAAGGAAGCAGCAGTACGCTGCTGTGATGAAGTTGATCCACTTGCTAAGGTTTGATTAGCTCCATGTTTGATGAGTGCATATGTTGTGTAACTTACCTTCGGGTTTTGGGAGTTAAAGAACCCGAAAAAGCACAAACTTTTCGGAATGTCTTTGCTGAAGCTAGTTCAGCATCAATACTTCTTATATAATGACAACTTTGTTTATATATGTGTACAGAGGCCACCTGCATATACACATAGGAAACGAAAGCTTACCTTCTTTATGTGCTTGAATCACCCTAGAATATTAGGCACAATATTATCAGTTTTATTTTCCATGAATCGACTAATGAATAACTAGCCTTAGTCCACCACGGGTCAATGTTGAAGGAAGCCTAAGTAGAGATATTACCCTGGTTGGGTAATAAATAGGTCTAGCAGCATCAACTTATGAAAAGAAAACAAGTTGTGTTTCTCTTCCATATATTCTCAACATGACAATTCTTTCTTATGTGATTGCAGTTCACATGGACTAGAATGCTATTGTCCTTGCATGGAAGCAGAATTTGTTATATAGATTGGCTCTGTATCTTGAAAGTTCAGATGCCATAATAGTTCTTTTTGTTTAACCATTCCAGAACATTTTGTGGCTAAATTATATTACAGTGTTTGTTGTCTTGTTTTTAAACTTTCTAACTGTATCATGCTTCGGAATCAGTCTATAGGAGCTGTAAACACAATTATAAGGAGGCCTTCTGACGGCAAGCTCATTGGTTATAATACAGATTGTGAGGCTTGTGTGACGGCAATTGAAGATGCACTTAGAGGTACTGCTTATTCTTCGTTTGGAAGTTAAAACTTTTCTAATACTCTTACTAGAAAGGTACAAGTGAAAATCCTAATCAATGTAGTTTAGTGGTCTATTATGTAATTCTTTTCAAGGCCATTTTTTCCCAGAATTCTGATAATTACATATCTTTAACTTTTACTTGAGACAATGCTGATTGTTAAAAATGGGCCTGGTCTCTCCTCTCCATCCCCCCTACCCACCTGATAAAGCATAATTTAGTGTGTCTGCAGGAGAAGGTAGAGATAGTCTTGCTTAGTTACTGGCTTCAATTGGATTACATATTTGATAACAAGAATACTACCGTCACTGTTTTCAATATCTTAGTCCCCCCCCCCCCCCCCCCCCCTCGCG